ACACACACACAGAGATAACCTATCGACAATATGTGTTTTTGCATTGCATTAATGCAAAAAATACATAAGAACTATTACCAAATTCATTCTCTATGCATTCCGAGTGCCAGCAGCGCTGAAATGCTCCTCGTGGAGCTTTGGCTTCTCTTCTTTCCCGCTCTTCCCACTCTTCTCACTGATATTAATCGAGCAAAACAGAGTGAAAAATATAAAGTTTTCCAAGATCTCACTATTTTTATTTCAGTACGACGGAAGCAGGTCAAATTCCCAGTAAACATGACTTTTTCCACAAGATGTAAACAAGTTATGCTTCGAGTTTGGAACAAACTTTGTTAACAATAATGTACATGCTTTCGAGCATGTTGCTCAGTGTGAAACAGCTGCAAAATGCAGTCAAACATCAAACTGTAAATTTTACCCTTTGTCTTCGCCCCATCCTTTTAATACGTCTCTGGTAAAAAGACTATATTTTACGGTAAAACATATTAAAAATCACAGACTATAAATTTGAGACTCCTTGTTTTCCGGACCGTGACTTTAATCACTATCTGTTTGATGTGTATAATAAATTGCTCTGTGCTTTGGCGATCCGGCAAAGGCTGTTTATTTTATACAGAGATGCTTTTGCATGTGCTATAATGCTTACTATAATTATCGTTTCAAATTGTACAGTTTTGGTAGCAGCTAGGGTTCCCTCTTTTTTTGCTGTCAAAATGAGGTAAGTCATTATTCTACATCAGCGTTATCTACAGCTGAAAGTGTTCATTGAGGGACACTCAGAATTGGCGGAAATAAACATTGCTGTAATAAATAATACTGCTTTACCAGAAATGAACAACACCTTTAGCAGCTGCGTCGATTGTTCCTCCCGCAATCTGTAGCCCCTTGGAGGCAGCGTCACGCGTCATACCCGCGCCAATGCTCGCAAGTTCCAGGCCACGTGTTGCAGCATCCTGCGTCATTTTAGCGCCCGCTTGTGCCATTTCCTTGCCACGTACTGCAGCATCACGCGTCATACCTGCGCCGATACTCGCAAGTTCCAGGCCACGTGTTGCAGCGTCCTGCGTCATTTTAGCGCCCGCTTGTGCCATTTCCTTGCCACGTGCGGCAGCATCATAAGTGATTTGTGTGCCAACCGCTGCTCCAAGTTCTGCGAGTTCTTTTCCGCGAGCAGCCGTCTCATAAGTCAGTGCGGCACCACGGCATGCTAATTCCCTACCACGTACTGCCGCGTCGTATGTGATTTGTGTGCCAACCGCTGCTCCAAGTTCTGCGAGTTCTTTTCCACGAGCAGCCGTCTCATAAGTCAGTGCAGCGCCACGGCATGCCATTTCTTTCGAGAACTGATACGTCTGTCCAACGGCTGCTTGCATGTACTCAATGTTCTCTCGGGCCACTGCAATGAAACCGTGTCAGTGGTGCAAATTATGCAACATATTTCTGAGTTCTAACTTTTGAGGTGAACCTGAACAGTTATTCTACTAATATTCCATTTTTCCCTGCAAAAAGACGTGCAGAAAGTGGCAACTCAGCAATATTTCTGGAGCGTTCTTTATTGCTTGTGTATGCTTTTTTGGTAAGCGCAACAAATGCTTCAGAGTCTATAATTATTTACTCTGAAGCATTTGTTGCGATTACCAAAAAAGCATACACAAGCAATAAAGAACGCTATCACCCGCCGAGAAGCCGAGCGAACGGGAAAAGAGATAGCCTTTTTCCCTTTATGGTCGAACAGAAAGAAGACTGCACAAAAATGGCGGAGGTAAAAGGGTTGTTGAGTGTGCTGTTCGCTGGAACAGATTAATTCAGTTACCACTCGCGTCACTCTGACAAAAAGTCACAGGTAAAACATAACGAGCCGACATGCGAAAATTGGGAGGGATTGGAAGGCAGCTGGGATCCGTTCAAAAATTCACCTATATTGGTGCCTACGGAAAATTTGCGAGCGTTGTGGGTGAACAAACAGCGGCATGCACTAGGGTAGTTGTGCGATATAC